AGGAATAACTTCAGATTTAGTAAAACATCTATGATGTGCTCCTCTCGTAGTAAAACTGAATCAAAAAGTAGTTTTTTGAATCTAAACCAATATTCTGATATAAAATAAAATCCCATCTAGATAACGAAGCTTTTTGAGACAAATTAAGGAATAACTTCAGATTTAGTAAAACATCTATGATGTGTTCCTCTCGTAGTAAAACTAAATCAAAAAGTAGTTTTCTGAACCTAAACCAATATTCGGATATAAAATAAAATCCCATCTAGATAACGAAGCTTTTTGAGACAAATTAAAAAATAACTTTAGATTTAGTAAAGCATCTATGCTGTGCTCCTCCCATAGTAAAACCAAATCAAAAAGTAGTTTTCTGAACCTAAACCAATATTCTGATATAAAATAAAATCCCGTCTAGATAACATTGTGCAAATTGCATTATCTTTTATCTTTTTTTCCCGGAATGCTCGAAGGTATTCGAGACCCGTTAAGGCGTTCCTGACCAGACCCGAGAGATGATGACTGATATATGTCGTGCACGTTTCGCTAACGAACAGAAGCAAAACGATGCAAGAACGATGAGGCAACTTTACCCACATGAGGCAATAACAGTCACGGCGTATGCGCGCGTACAATGACAGAACGCGTCACTTATAAAACTGTCCGTTTCCGCCGAAGACGCTTTCCATTTCATTTTGTGATTTATCAATCAACTGAAATGCTTAACGACGACCAAAGGCCGCGAGCAAACAAATAGTGATGAAACTTTGCGACGAAGTCCACTGGAAAATATGAGGAAATATTGAGGAGTCGGGCAGAATACAATTTTTATAACCTAAACGTGAAATCAACATGTTTTTTCTATTGGCCTTTGCGACAGCCAGTGCTGGATATACAGTAGGGTCAGTCGGGGCTACTGCCCAGGGCGGCAATTTTCGGGGGCGGCAAAATTTGGATAGCAAAGAAAAAATTATATACAATGTAGTTACTAATTCTTTAAATAACATTTTTTTTCTAACAAAATATAATACGATTGCAATGTAAATCTTGGGCTCAAATAACCTATTATTAAAATTTATTATTTTGCCTTGCTTTCCGAACATAAATTATCAAATTAGTTAATATGTCATTATCAAATTTGTCAATTTGGTTAATATAAAGATTCGTAAACGAGCTGAAAGTTTAGGAAAAATATGTTTTTCAGATCTCGAACCCTCTTAAGATGAAGAATTCGTGCACTTCCATACTTACAGCGCCCAAAATATTAAACTAGTGACGCATATAGTAAAATATCAAAACTCAATTACCATTTTTCGAAACGGCTGGTCCTGCCTGTGCCAAAAACGAACCAGCACGTCCCCTCATCAATACAAATCTAATATTTTTTAATTATTCAAGTCGATTTCGAGAACACAAATCAACCGATTTGAATGATTCGATTCCTATTGATAAGAAGACGTGTTGATTAGTTATTGGCCAGGCAGGTTCAACTGTTTCGAAGATACGGGCCAGAATTCCAAAAATGATAATTCAGTTTATGAGGAACGGAGCGTCCAATATCATTAATAAAATGTACAGGTATTGACAAAATGAAGAACTACTCAAATTTGTGAGAGACACGTCTAGCAGTTTCGGTGTGATCCATTTTGGTGATTATTAGACATATGCACATCAAATCATCATCTATTTTATAGATATTTTAATGATAAGTATAAATTTTGTATACATTCTATGGGTTCTGTAACATTGTTTATCCTTTACACTGCGGCGCTTACACGCTTCTATATTTTGTGTCTACGCAGCTGTAGCAGCGCGATTGCTTAAATAAAGTTCAAAATTTTAACAGATTTTACAATATAAAGAAACACAAAATTTTCAAAAAAAGTCAATTTATTTCAAAGTTTTCAATTTTTTTTTTTTTAATTTTCGGTACGGAAAGTTGCAACATTTTTTCTGCAATCAAATAGTTATTTTAATTTTCAAGAAATGTAAAAACTACTTAAGTAAAATTTCAGGGATGGGGCGGCACTTTGTCAGTGCCCCAGGGCGCCAAATTCTAAATTCGGCACTGGCTACAGCGTTTAGTCTCCTGTAATTTATTTTTGCTTCTTTTCTTTTATATCATATAAGATCTTCCATAATTTTTCAATTTTTCAACTCGACCGATCTAACTGCATCTGTATCTGTGAGTCAAGCGTTACCGATTCGGCTGCACTCGCCGCGACATGATCTTTTTTGTATAAAAAAATAAGATAATACCCAAAGTCCTCATTTTAAATCAATCTCTAATTAGTCCGAACTGATATAAATAATTCCATAAATTATTTTTATTTTGCTTTTCTGTAATTTCAATAAATCTCATGACCACCCATTTGCTACGACAGTATTTTCTGCAGAAGTGACACTGCTGTATAGAACAGCTTGTCACCCAGTAGCGCTACTAAACAATGTTTTAAGATTTTTCAATAAAAATGTATTTGAAAACAAAAAAATACTTTTCTATGAAAAATTCAACATAGAGTGATATTTTTTTTAATTACTATATCTGTTACAACTGCTAAATAATTAACATCTAGTAACAGTAATGAACAATTATATAAATTTAATAAATATTGCAACTGGGTGTCGTCTATAAGCGACACCGATATTCAGGTATTCAAGCGGGGGTGTCCTGTACAAGCGACAAATCGTGCACAAGAGGTCATGTGAATGGGGTTAAACAATAATATTATATAATGAATCGATTTCATTAAAATACTCTCATGTATGTTAAACAATTAATGTTTCTCATATTGATAGTTATTAATAAATTAGAACATATTCAACTTTAATTAAGTCTTAGTTAATTGAAAAACCGAGTTACAAAATGTGCTCTATTGCAATAAAATCACTTAGTTATTACGGACAATGCAATTTTATGCTTATTGCAATATGATATATATATATATATATATATATATATTTATATACAGATAAATAATTTGAAATATTCTGAACTAAAAAGTCTCATTTTTCTTCAAATGACATATAAATTTTAATTATTTAAAAAAAATTTTAAAAAATTATTCGGCGTTCCGAAGATATGGGAAGATTAATTTTTCGTGAATTTTGAAATGACGTTATATTTGAAAATACATCGAGCAAATACATCTTTACTTTTCTGCCTACTGTTAAAATAATCTTTTTTGTGAATTGGAATTAAACCCATATATTAGTTACACATAACTAATCTCATTCACAATTTTACAGAAAAATAAAATTGTTTGCTCAAGCTCCTATTACTACACTTATCAAAAAATATTGCTTTAATTTATTCCTCATTAAAAAGTAATAAAATAAAATTATTTTACAACAAGATGAAAACACTATGCTATATATATGTTATAAACAATTATCTATCCAAAGTAGGTTCTTGGCCCATATAAACGTTAATTTATAGATTTTTACAAAGCTACTAGAAATTAAATAAAGTGTTAGTCAAATCATATTTACATTGAATTATATCAACCAACATTTAATTACAAGTGGTACAAGGAATTGTATGAATGTTACTCCTGACGCCATTGATTTTAATTGCTGTGGATAAATTAAAATTATCTTGTACTAGATAATTAATTAACTTCGCAGATAAACAGTATTATTTATGTTTGTTTGCATAATTTTATTTAGTTACAAAAATATTGTAATTTGAAAACCAACAAAAACGCCAGTCATGTAGTAGTTTTCTCGTGTTTTTTCTAGGTGATGAACCTCAATAACGAGCAAAAGAAAACTTTCTCGATTATGTGACATGTTTTGCAATATAAGTATGACCATACCCGATGACATGTTTTCGCGATGAATGTATATCGGCATAATATCAGTAATGTGCCAAAAAAATCGCAAAAATATCTATAATCAATGCATCTAATAAGCGCGACACGGATAAGATAATTATTGGAGATCTAGATTACGTAATGAAACGTTGCATTCACTTTTACTGAATAAAATGCATGTTATACAATTAATGTATGATCATGCAATAAATATTATATGGAGTCACGTTAAATAAATACTTCATTCAATTTCAATAGCGAAACAAAAAGCGAATTGCATACTGCGAAAAGATAACATAAGTACTGCAAGACACTTTAATGACCAGAAAAATGTAAACGAAGTAATTGCTATGAATTTTTTAGCTTTGTGTACGATATAAACAATACGTTAAATTGTAGGTATGCTTGACTTGAGAAATCGCTCTCAAACGATATTTTATTTTTGTCATGATTTGCCGAGTGTAACAATGCCGAGCGCATGAACTCTCGCTTGTATTAAAAATACAGTACCACGACAATACGTGATACACAATTAAATTAAATAGAAGTAAAAGTAGGATGCGGATTATTTGCGATTTGCACCTTTATTGACTGCCTTTAGCACCAGATGTTAATAAAATATCTATAAATCATTAAAAACTTATAACTAACTCTAAACGTACACACACGTATCCATTTCAACACCTCAGATTCCATTTCATAACGAGACTGTGAAAATACCTCATTATTTTTTACAAACAATTAACGAGTGCTTTTATTAACACTGTCTTGATTTATGGCTGAGCGTCTATAAGTTTGCTACGCCGTTGGTTATGTAATTTAAATTTTGCAATGCCCTGTAATAACTTATGTATTCCAACGGTAAATCTTCGTTACTTATTTAGAGCTAATACTCATCGATTTTTATATCCGCAAATTGACATCGGTGTAGCAAATGAAAGTTTTATATAACTGTGTTAGTAATCTTATGAAATTTAGTATAACATGCAATTATATGAAAAGCTATAAGTGATACATAATTGCCATGCTACAATAAATAATTATTGTTAATTCTTCATCTGAAAGAGGTGTTTATATACGGAAACAAACATATAATAAAAATATCTTTATTAAACTTAATTATCTACAAATATAAATACACAGGTGAGCGAGAAGTGTACGCATTGGGTTGGTTTTGATTTGGCAAGGCTTGCGAGCTTTGAAAGCACGCTGATTCATAGAATCCCGTGGCGGGCCGATAAAAGCTAATAATTACATGCTATATTTCACAGTAAGCCCGCCATTTACCCGAGCGATATGATTGAAAATGGTATCTACTTAATGATGGTAGCTGTAACCGCCACCGAGTCCGCTGAAGCTTGTGTAGCTATCACCGTGGTGTTCGGCGTGGTGTTCGTGATGTACATGTACTGGTACGGCTACTTTGACTGGGACTGGGTATGGCTTCTCCACTGGTACTGGGTATGGTTTCTCGACATGGACTGGGTAAGGCCTGTCGACTGGAACCTTGACTGGGTAAGGTACGTGTTTCTCCACTTGTACTGGGTAGTGCTTCACGACTGGGAAAGGTTGTGGTACTGGCACTTTGACCTCTACTGGGTATGGTTTTTCTACTGGTACTGGGTAAGGCCTGTCGACTGGTACTTTGACTGGTACTGGGACATGTTTCTCCACTGGGTATGGGACGTGCTTTTCAACGGTCACTGGGTAAGGTTGTGGCACATGTACTGGGTATGGTCTGTCGACTGGAACCTTGACATGTACTGGGACATGTTTGTATACATCATAAGGCTGTGGTACTGGTACTTCGACCTTGACTGGGTAAGGTACGTGTTTCTCGACGGTGTAGGGTTGTGGTACTGGAACCTTCACTGGGTAAGGTACGTGTTTTTCAACTGGGTAGGGTTGTGGCACCAAAACCTTGACGGGGTATGGTTTGTCGACATGAACATGAACTGGATAAGGCACATGTTTGGTAACTTCGTAGGGTTGTGGCACATGTACAGGTACTTTGACGTATTCCTTAACAGTGTATGGTACGTGTTTGACGACTTCGTATGGTTGAGGAACTCCAACCTTGACTGGGTAAGGTACATGTTTCTCTACTGGGTAGGGAACGTGTTTCTCAACTGGAACTGGAACTGGAGTTTTCTTCAAAAGTGTCACGGTTTTGGTGACATCAGTGTGTGTTCCTAAAACATTGTAATGTGCTCCATATCCACCATCTCCAAGTTCATGACCTCCATAAGCACCTCCGATTCCGTGACCTGTTCCTAAAAATCCAACATCCAAACCGCTGTGGCCATATCCGTATCCCAAATTCAAGAGGCCACGTTTGTCCAACTTCTTTTCTAACGGCACCTTCTCGGCAACCGCGAGCGCCAAAAGGGCGAAACAGATCTGCAAAATATAAACGCATTTCGTTAATCACAACACATCACAATTTTGTTATCGTATTAATCAAAACGCGAAACTGAAAAATAACTCACAAAAGCTCTCATGTTTCTATATACACAAATTGTCGGTCTGAGTCCAGACAGTGAACTGGATGCTGCTAGTTGGTGGGTCTGTTCTTTTATACTGCGTGGTATCACTTTTTCACTTTCGCTCGCTCGGACTGAGCGGCGGGACAACAGTCCATCGCGCTACGGGTTCGCCTCGCGTGGAGTACGTTGGATTCCGTAACTCGTCTCGAGTTGGCGGCGCGTTGTCAGCGTTCCACGGAATCCCCGCGCGCCCTTCGTAGGCTCAAATAGTAAGGCATGCCCAGGGAGGAAAACGCTCACAGTGTGTATGCATACGAACATGTATGTCAGAGGCATTCGGTTATAGTTTGACACACTACGTAATGCACAGAGAGACCGCATAACACGACATGCATAGATTCAATGTTGATGTGGTAATCCGCGCAGCAGTATGATAATCGATGTAGGAACAGGGCGAGCTCTTAGTCGTTGTGGGTCAATATCACACTGAGATATTCACCGAAGCATTAACATTGACACTACCTTGCACGTTTTCAATAATATGAAAAAACATCATATTGTCAATATGTATGAAAATGTTTCCAACATATTGTCATGTTTTAAAGAAACAGATAATATTTACTAACAATGTGAATTTACCAATTGGTTCAATTTAATTATTTGTAATTGACAAACAAGTTAGTATCAAATTCAAGTAATTGTTCAATATCTAAACGAAAAAAGCTAAACGAAACCACTATAAAAAGACCCCCATTGGCAGTTTTTGAAATGATAAATAACAAACACATTGACCAAAAAATAAAATATTAATATATTTAAAATCAAACACGTTTAATAATTGTAGCTCCGTCCATAAAATAAAAATTAAAAGCTTATTCTTTCATTATTACTGAGGCGGTTCAAAATTTAAATTTTGGTTTGTAAATTTACGACCTTTTCTCTATTCTTCATTTTATAGCTTTTTATTTTTATCTTTTGCCATTTTCGAACAATGCATTTATTATAAAATATATATTTTGCAAAATATAAATCTGTTAATTGCTCCCACTGAATAAATTTACGCTATCGATTCAGAGGCCTACAAATTTTTTTTTTGTTTGGTGCATCAAATGTTATTGCTGATTCTTATAGTATTTCAAATGAATATGCGTTGATTTCAAATCTGCAAATCATTTGTTTGTGTCAGCTCTAGTTTTTGAGATACATTTTTGAGAAAGAAATTGCCGAAACCAGGTCCATTCTAGGTCGTCACGGAAAAGTTCTTTTCACTGTGTCAACTAATTAAAAACAAAGTTTAAAAACAACGATGCTTTTTGTTTTGGCATTTCTAATAAACTAGCTTATACACACATAAAATTTAGTTTTGGTTACAAACATTTTGTAGTGTTGTATTTTGCCAGTAAAACAATGTAAATGCTATTGTAGATATAAGCAAATTATAGTATATAGAGTATATAAAATTTCGTGTAAACTTTGATAAAAAAAATCAAAAACCGTGTAAAAAACGACGAATATCTTGTAAAACGGGGGATAGGTATATTCAAAATTGCAAAAACAGAAACGACTTTTGGTTGTTAATATAAGCGATTTTATTACACAAATTTTTTAGTACAATTTTATTTATCAAAAGAAGTCACCAACTTCACACCAAATTATTCACGAACAGTAAAATAAGTGGGTAATTTATCTTATTATCTGACTTTAACAATGAAAATGTGTCTTAGTAAAGCTATGTATTTGGATAGAATTATAGACAATTGATTTTTTAAATCTATAATTTTATTAATTACAAAGAAAAAGTGTTTATTGTTTAATTTAATAATCATAGTCATTCTTGTCTATACAAATATTATACTATACATATATGCAAATATTGTATAGTATGTATACGTAGCAAAATTGATTTAACACAAATGATGTTTTTTAAAAAGTATATTTGTTTTAACCTTGGGAGAAAGTCCTAAAACTGAAACTGAACCTGACCTTACACCTTGACTTTAAAAAAACAAAAAAAAATGTCGATGAAGCATATCTTTCTCCACTGAAGCGTTAATTGAAATACCTGAGATGTTTTGAAATTCATATAGAGAGCACTTATATGTGCATTAACATTATGTAATTTGTAACAAATTATTTATTATAAAATATAATTATCATTAGTTTGATTTGCAAATTACTACGAGAATGAATCTCACAGTTTACTGTTTCGTAGTATCATAAAATTAATCGATATTGATTGATTTATTCTATTGCATTTTCAGTTACTATTATACATCATAAAATCATCCAATTTTCTTGCATAATAATTACATATTCTGTATCTTATTTTGACCTCAATTTTCGAGTAATGCTAAATAAGCTTGTGAATTTATTGTAGTTTCACGTAGTAGCAGAAAAGTATTAAATAACATATGATAAAATATATAAAATATAATAAGATAGAGTTGTTTAATAGATTGTAAAGTGAATGACAGTATGATTTATTCCAAAATTAAATTTCATTCATATTGAAAGATTAATCAATTGTTGTGACAACTATATCTTTGTAATTAATTTTTTGACCTTTGTCTATATTTTACTATGAACCTTGAATATTTAGGAGTCAGAGTTAAAATATACTTGCTCAAAGCAAATTATATAATTTTAGTTGAAATTGCGGCCTTCATAGGGTTTACTTTCATTTTCCCAGCAATGTAATGAATTAGCAATATTCACATTGATGAATTTGAATTTTTCGCTCTTTCTGTTTAATGCTTATATTACTTTGAACTATCAGGCATATGAATTTATAGATTTATCATGACATATTCTTTAAATTTAACTTCCTATTTTAGAAAACCTGTTTCCTAATTTGTTTTATCAGATTACAATAATCCTTAAATATAATATGATTATTTATATTCAATAAAATATTATTAAGACGTTCTCAAATATTAAGCTTTAATATGACTATGCCCAATGCAAAATCTTGCTTATTACGTTATATTACGCCTGTTTCTGCACTTTGAAATATATTTTTCTCATTTCTCGAATTTTTATTCCGTTTTCGGGCAAATTGTTTTAACGGTGTTTTACTGTAATTATTACATTTTGCTAATAATTAGAAAAATAGTAATAAATCAGCATTGCCCCGACGTTTTTCGAATCTTCGAAAAATCCCCGGTACATAATAATACCTATTTTATACAATATGTCTTAATTTGTGAATTTAAATGTGTGATGCTCTAATAATCCAACATTTCTGAATGTTAAATAGTTTTGTACAGTGAAAATTCTTTACGCGCGTATCACACTTACGATCTATATGCAACGTTCTACTATTGCAAAATACAATAAAGATGCATTTATTGATATGTTGTATAATGCAACTTTCAATTTTAGTATACCGCTGTACAATTATATTGAACTAAAGTATTTTCTTATTATGACAAAAAAAATTACATCTATTTTAATTGTACTCATGCTGCACAATTTGCAATTATTTGAAAAAAGTCATTCAGTATTTTAGGCAAAAAATGAAATAACAGAAAAAATAGATTAGGTTTAAGGTATTGTTGGAGTAATCAGATCAAACATGTATCGCGCCTTCAAAAGCTTATTTTGTGGGTGGTTTAAGGGTCATGTTTCTTCTAGGACTTACTTATTTAGTTATTTGTAATTATTTCTACTACAATCGATGAGGTTATGACAGTACTAGTGATTTCGAGCGATATTATAGCAATTATCAGAGGCTTGATGGATTTTTTTATTAATTAATCATTTTTATTCATTTTGGGACAAAATGAAATAGTACAATTTGCAATTACTACAGGCTAGCCCATCCCAGACCAAGAAAAAATTAAATTGAAAACCGTCAAAGTTGATTGGCTTTTAAAATCTACTCTAACTACTACCGGTAAAAAGAAGAAACTGGCATTTATTGCGAAGACTTCTGTTCCCTTTCTGAGCTTGACATCTACGAAGTATAATTTGTTCCCTTTGAGCTCATACTTCATATGTTGATGTCCCAAAGAGGACCAAACAATTTATTTGTAAACGGTCTTTTAACAAAATTGTATCTCAGTATGTGCTTAAGTTATGTCATTTTATCCATACTGCATGGCCGTATGCATGGTTATTTTAATTAGTCGCATTTATCCTTTATAAATATGTTATTATAGTTCCTACTTAATTAACTATGTTACTGATAGTCAAAGAATCAAAGATGAGTCAAAAAGATTGAGACTGGTGTAGCAAATTAGCTCCAATTTATATTAAGGGTACTATAACTTTTTATATAAAAACAAAAAAGTGTCTAAAAAAATATTGATGTTTAATAAAACTACTATCAAATTGCAAAATATTGATCTTTAATTAAATCCGCCTAATTAGTGGAACCAAATTAAATTAATCAAATCACAATCGTGAAATTAAATAAAGAAGATTTATGAAAAAGTTCTTCAACTGATTATCATTTTGTCTATACTTCCACTACCCTTAAATATAAATTAAATAAAATAATAAAAGTTACATACATGAACAATATATCTATAGATCAATAAATCCTCGGCTGTACTAGACTCGGGTAATATGCTAAAGTGCTTACAATTGAAGTATGTTTTTGTACAGACTAGGGATGTAGATTCTAAGTATAACCAGCAAAAACCAGAAAAAGTAAAATAAAATAACAAAGATTATGAATATATGAAGAAACAAAATTCTTATTGCGATAACAGTGCCAGTCATGCAAAAAATGCATGGATGGCGATGAGCAAAAAAGTCCAATTTGACTTATACTGTTTTGGTAACTATACAATTTAAAATAAACGAATTACACCATAAAGCACAACACGTATCAATCAAACAAACAGCTATCGTAGTATGTTCAGTAAAATTTTCAGTTAATTCCTAATTATAGAAATATGGTATTTTTTACTATTTTTCAAGAATTTGTAATCTGTCCCTTCTTTTTATAGGCGGAATAAAATAGAACGGTCAAGAGACAAACAGATCCAGTGTCTTATTTTAAATTTTTAATCTTAAAGTTTATACAAAATTTTAAAGTTGTAATTGTCATTTATAAGTAAATTCGTGAATAACCGTTGTTTGGACAGAGAGTTTACAAAATAATAGCTACAATATTCAACAAATGCAAAATTCATGAGCACATTTTTTACAAAGGTAATACTATATACAATCTAGTTTTGGTATTTTGTCAGAAATATCTTTAGCGGAGTGGGATCAACTATTAATTTAATCCTCCCACACGTAAGCTATTATAGACGTTACATAGAAACATCTAACGTTGATTAAAATAATAATACAGATAAAGCAAGTAGTTATGGTATATTTGAAAATTATATATAGGTCTCGTAAACTAAACATCAGTGCTCACCACCGTTGGATTCTTTTGTTATATATTTTCACATAAGGCTGATTAAACATCTTTTTCCCTCTACTTTCAAATATTGTTGAAAAATTCTCAAATTTACTTGTTTTTACAATACTGGTGGTGGACTTTTTTACCCGTGGACCTTTGAGCGCCGAACTATCCTATGCAAATAATAGACGGGAAGTGCAAAATAATGAGAATTGTATACCAGACACAGAAGTAAGGAAGGAGAAGCTGGAGAATTAAAAAGTGATCTAAAAACAAGGAAAAAGGCGAGTAAATAAAAAGTGGGATTTCTTAACACAGACCTGTCCTCAGGGAAACCACCAACAATAATAATCCTCGGCCATCGATTTCAATACTTTGTTACGATATCTCCCTTATCTCGAATATTCCGTTCACCGGATGCGTGCTTGTACTTTTCAATAATAACGCGAATCATAATAATGCATCTGTTGTAAGTAAGTTTTATAAGTGTAACACTTCCGTCGTTTTGCGTAATCCAACGGTGTCGAATTCTTACACAAGCATAAAAACACTGATTTCATACGTGATTATTCGATTTATATGCGCAAGCGAGGGTTTCTGTAATACATTTTTATTTTACCTCAAATTTTTCGTATAGCCTTACGGATCAGAAACATGGACTCTATGGAAGAGCGTACAAGAGTTTCGAGGTGCGTACTGGTGATGTATGAAAGAGATGGAAGATAGTGATATGCTAACGAATGAAGAAAGAAAGAAAGCTATTGGATATAATCGAGAAAAGAAAAGGAAACTGGATCGCATACAGGACAACGTCATCTAGGACAAAGAATAATGCAGATGATAGATGACTTACATAAGAATAAATACGGAAATTGAAAACCGAGATATAGGAAACGGAAGCATTGAAGCAGAAGTTTTAGAAGTAAAAAGTGAACTATGATCAAGTCACAGCAAAAGACAGAGCACCAATAACAAAATTAATTAGATTATATCGACACTCTGAGGGTCATGTCAAGACTTCGGAACTAGTTAGATCAAATAACAAGACTTGTCTAATAATTCTACTGCTTGTAGTTATATCGAATATTTACTATTGGAGAGATCGCCAGTTGATACAAAACTTAAATATGGGATAGAAAATATAAAATCGATTTAATTAAAGATGTTCAACAGAATGTGAATTGATGTAGAAGTGCAGTTCAATTATAAATAAAAAATGCAATTTTAAAATTTTAAATATACTACAAGTTAAAAAAAGGAAATATTACATAAATTAGCAGTTATTTAATCAATACTAGTTGAATCTTCAAATAAAGAAAAACTGAAATAGACTTTCGATGCTATCAAAAAAAACTTCAATAGCAAGCAATAAAAGATTTGGAACAAAAAAATCATCATTATAGATTTGGAAACTAGTTGTGTATGGCATTAAGGCAAATTGCTGAGAAAACTTCGAAATATTCGAGAAATATTAAATGTTTTCATATAGATTACTATAAATACTGTAACATTGTATAATATTTATACGAGTTATATAAACTAAATAACAAAGCTAAAATTATTGTTATGGAATATCTAAGTGAGCTTTAGAACTTACTTTGAGAAAAAAAAATTGGAAATAAAATTTGAAAGAAAAATTTGTTTCCAAAAGCAATTAATTTTTCAAAACAAGCAGAAAGTTTTTGAATCATTCAAATCGGATGCTTGGTTCTCTCAAGAACTGACACTTTTTGCATATTTAGCTCGGTATCTCCGAAACGTATCGACCTGCCTTTGCCAAAAACTAATCACCGCTTTTCCCCGTCAATACAAATTGAATGTGTTTTGAACAATTCTCTCAATTCAAAAACTCGATTTCTATGTTCTGCACTCTTTGCTGCGTATCTCCTAAACGGCTGGACCTGCCTTTGCCGAAAACTAATCAGCACATCTGTTAGCACATCTATCTATCAATAGGAATCGAACGTATTTTGAATCATTCAAATCGGTTGAAACGTGCGCCCGAAAACGTGGATGAAAAGTTGTATTCATACATACATACAAACACTCAAACACACACAAACATACATTTTTTCTGAAGTATGCCAAAGTGTTCAGAAACCTCCAAAACGTGAAGAAATGTAAAAATTTTCAATTTCGATTTTTGGACTATTACAATAACACCCTATGGGAATTTATTAATATAAAATTGTTAGAAGCAATTATGAAAATATTTGATTACATCAGTTGTTCATGAAATGTTTGCTTTTTTGTGAGAATAAGTATAAAAATACTGATCGGTATAATTTTGCTCTTCTGAGATTATTAAATTTCAAAATTACTTTCTGGACTGCATATTTTTAATAAAATTATTATATCACCAACATAATATAGCAATCAAAATAATTTAACTTTGTCAACTGAATATCATCTATAAATACAAAAAATTGGTTAAATGTATAAGATTTGTGATCTCTATTTTTTATTTTGACATATCCTTGAAAAACAAATTAGAACGTTTTACAAATCAATAAATTATAAGAATTATGGGATATGGCTGTTGTTTTTCTCTCTTAATTTTTTTGAATTAGCACATTGCATATACTTTTTAATAAGAATCATTTAATAATATGATAATTAATAATGTATTATATAATAAAAAAGCCAATCAGATATATAACCAATATAATGCATGTTTAAAATTTATGGGTAAATAATTATAGATTTTTGTTCTATTAAATTAGGTATTTATTTTTAATTATTGCACAACGCAAAGGCAAAAATGTGTCCCAAAGTAATCAAATTTATACTTTTTATCAGGAGTTTCAAAATTTTTAATTGAATTTATAAATTGCTTTTAAGTGTTCAATAACAAGTAATTTTATACTCTTCGGCATTTAAAAACGAAATCTATATAAAAATATTTTTGGAGCGTAACGAAGTATCTTTAAAAAAATTCCATTGTTTTTTATTATAGTTAGATTTCATGCAATGTCATTATGTCGTTGAAGAGTTTATTATTCATAACCAAATTTATGACTCTTAATGCAGTATTTGAAAGCAAAATTTGCAAATTAACTTTGAAAATTAAATTATAAATAGTTGCTATTAAATATAAATTAGGTAATATATAGAATATGAATTGTTTAATTTTTTTTTTCATTATACTAGCTATTTTTTATATATATACCAAATGAAAATTTGAAAATAAATTTGGTCATTTTTAAAAAATCGTATTTGAGTTATACAATCTACTTTTTACTTAGTAAGATAGTTTCACATACTTTAAACTAATAATAATTTCAAATAAATATCATTTTATACTATAATTTATTACCAATGTGCTTTCTAGTTCTCAGAATACAGAAATTAAAATGACTAAAAATGTTCAGCCAACTGCGTCTAACTGCTATTGCTTCTTGTAATCGGTAATTAATAGATTATATATATATATATATATATATATATAATATTTGTTAAGCCCTGAATTTAAAATTTCCAAAAGTTGTTGATTTTGAAAGACCCTTGTCTTTCAAAAATGCTTCAAAGTGCCATTAAAAGCTTGCGTATTTTCACAGGATTGTAAAATGGAGTTTGACTCAATTCATATAATTTTTATTGGCGCCAGCTAAATTGATGAGATAATAAAAGGGTGAATAATGAGATAATAAAAGTAGGGGTGCATAGCATCGTTGCTTAAGGCAAACTGCTCGAACGTTTTGTACCAAATTTTTTAAGGCTTTGAAAAAATTATTTTTCTGAAACTAGAAAAATTTTTGGACTTTTTGAAATTTTTTGTCATTATATTTACTCTTTTTTATCAAACCTGCAAAATCGCTAGAACTGCCCGCCCAAAAACTTATCAGTTCTTCATTTCGTCAATACAAATAAAATGTTTTTTGGTCTCTGAGTCAATAAAATCGGACGCTTCGTTATCTCAAAAACTAAAATACTATTTTTGGAACTTTTTGACCCGTATCTTGGAAACGTCTAAACCTGCCTATGCCAAAAACTAAACTGAACGTTTCGCCGTCATTACGAATCGAATGTTCCTTGAACTATACAAAGCTGTTGATCGGGGTTCAACTGATACGAATCGTCGACTGAAAATATGAATTCGAAATGAAATCTGAATAAGGTATAATTTTTTTTTTGCCGTAAATCGACGTTTTCTCAAAAACGACTGGACCGACGTTTGAAAGATATTAGTTGGGAATGATACTGATTAGTATTAGGTGAAAGTATACCGAACCATTTTCTTGTAATTAACTGTTGAAAAAAAAATTTAAGCCGATTTTCACAGAACATTTTTTGGCGATATATATCATGGTCTTATAGAACTTACTGAAATATTACGGCCTTACGACAAGTAGTTTAGTTTTAAAAAATCATCGAAGTTTGAGAAAATGCTTAGTTTTTTTGACGTTTGTTAAAATTAAAATAAGACTATTCACTTGGTATAATTATAGAGTATTTGATTTTAATAAACATACTAAACCATTAAAGTCCTACGGAAACTGGTTCAATTATAAAAATTGATGATTTTTGAGAATTTGCTTTTAGAAAATACTTCAAGTTAGCGTGTTTGTTCGTTTTCAATTATGTATATTTAATCCACTCGGAATACTTTTAATAACTCATAAATTTTAAAAAATCATAAATTAATTTATTTTTTATTGATTAAATCAATTAATTACACATATCGAAAAGTTTATGTAACTTGCCTCAAGGCAAAATACCAATACCAACTAGTTTATAGTCATAATTAATCAATGAACACATAACATTATAAATGAGTAGCTAAATTTATTAAAGTTATTCTTATAATATTGAAACATTATTAATGAAACAATATTTCCTTAATTACATAAATCATCTCAATGAAATTATTCTTCTAGTTAGCTAGGAAAATTAAGATTGAAATGTCTTCGATTCGACTTTCTCTCAAGTGTTTGTAACATGTTATGATTGATACCGGATATTCAGTGCATGATAACATATCGCGGATAATACTGAAGAAATTACGACAAAAAGTATATACAAGTTATGAATAATACATATAAAACAACTGCTCCAGATATTTGTTACAGCATTCGACAATGTTGTCTAATATTTTATAGGAAGTGTATTATCATATTATGAGACGAACGCCGAAACTGGCACGATTTTGAATTGCAATATACAGAATATGAGTAGTTACATGAACCATTATATGCATTTCATTTATTTTTTCAAAGATTGCGATGTTTTTATTTGTTTATATTATTTGAACAGAGATGAGAATTTAAGGGTGCTTTAAGGCGTTTGCTGATTTGACCTAACTAGCCCAGACAATTGTCCTATGTGATGAATTCTATTGTTTTAAATATTGTTTTAAATTATATGTGATGAATTTTATTATTACATTTTTTGTAATTCTGATGAGTTTTTATTAATACAACAATGCTCAGGAAGAACTATTTTTGGTTGAAATCACATTTTTATCTATATTATCAAGTCAAAACTGATACCACTGCTTGACATCAGTCTACCCGAGACGAAAATCTAACTTGAAAGCTTTGCTTGAAAAAAATAGCTCGAGTTTTGATAAATGATAGGAAAAACTGGGCGCGTTTATGCCAAGGCACAGTAATGATAGTCGTCATAAAAGCTAACATGCAGCTAATCTATACTGATTCTAAAATAGAGTCTACAGAAAAAAAGATGAAGTATCTTTGTTTGAACAAGTTTCCATTATTGCATTAAGTCAGCGCCCAACATTAACATCATCTGTAGATTGCTTTGCTTTTGAAGGGTCAAAAGTAAGTCTTTTTATTCGATTTCTTTAAATAATAGCACTTATACAGATAAATCATTTTGTTATTTTACTGCAAGATGAATACTAGTAGTTAATTCCAGCAACTAGTTTTGCATAAATAATTTAACACTGTCATAAGTGTTTTCAAAAGTTTGAGTTGGGTACAGCTGTGACATTGACATGTTTATCTTGTCTTTTTGGGTATAGAAAAATATAACTTAACTAAAACAAAATACGTAAGAAGAAGGTAAACAAATATTCAAAACAAGAAAAAACTAAATTTCTTGTTAACTTTGTTCGCAAAATTATGTTTTGTTACATATTGTTATATTAAATTCATAACCTGTTAACAGTTCTGGGGGTGTGAACGGTTGTGACACTTTTTTGTATGATATCATTTTATGACTAATCCATCGTATTTAAGGGCCGTATTTCAGTATTTTCACGTACAAAACTTTTCAAATTACCATTTAATTTACTTTTTACCCAGCTAACTGGTAAATTAACAACATTTTTGCTGATTAAAAAAGTAGTGGCACAACTTATGAACCGAGTTTTCTTTACTGTTTTCTCTAGAACAAGTTGTGATTTTTTTTTAAATTTGCTCAATATCAATTAGAATATTGGGCTACGCACTACAGTTTGCCATAAAATAGTTAAATGAAAAGTATGTATTTTCCTACAAAACTCATACACTAAAATTATTACCTTAAATTAAAAGAATTTGTGGAAAAATATGGTTGCCAAAAAGCATATTTTGTTTGTCATTTTCAATATAATATAAGAAATATTAATTTTTACTCCAAATTCTAATATATTTTACAATTGTAATATGCATTTATTTAACATTTAATTATAATAAATCTTAATATTCTGAGAGATTTTAATAAGAAGGTATTAATCTTAACAATCGAGTTGCTGCTAATTAATATGAGGAAATTCATTCCAATATTGATTTAATTAAGCTGCCTGGGGCGCACAAACACATTAATTCAAACACTGATTCATATACCCATTCTCATATTAATCAAAACAGAAAACAAAACAGTTATGATATAATTTTCTGAATGAAATAAATATTTCCTTAAAATTAATTAATTAAAACGTACATTGAACTAGTTTAGCATCCAATAATCATCTTGAATTTTAAAAAGTTAGAGTTTAAGATAAATGAATCAAGAATAGGTCCATGTGTTTCGCAATTAAAAAAAATATTTTAAAATATAATTCGCGAGAAACGAAACAAAAATTTTGATATAGATTTTTGAATGATGAAGAACTTTTTGAAGTGATATTCATACATGAATATGTGAATACATAGAAAATTATGTATCACTTCAGGAAAAAAATATTTCAAAGATTCAAATTATTAAACATTAGTACATAATATATAGTGAAGTAACTTTTCTCACAACCATATAATAAAATTTTGAAAAATTTAAATAACAGTTAATATTTCAATATTTTGAAAATTTCAAAACAAGATATATTAAAAAATATTCTAGGCGTTTTGACAATAAATATCCAAAGTAATAATTTAAATAAAATAAGCATAATGACTGACTGTAATATACACTATTTTTCAGTCTTAATATTTTAGGGTAATTTTTCTATATAATATTAGACATCAACAAAAATAATACAGATATTATTTAAATAATAATCAAATTTCCTTTATTTTGAGTCACTATGATTATAATAAATCATTTTATCGCCTTTAGGACGACGCCGGTAATAAATTGATCCATCATTTATCAATAACCTGTAAAAGTAGCAGATTCAAATAAGATTGCAATCAAATTTTCAAAATGATAAATTGAGCTTAACAAGTTTGATGACTTTTATTACTTGTTTGATAACTGTTAATATTTTATTGCTCATTTCTAGAATTTATACCTTCTTTTTCATTCTTTCATCGTTCGTATCATTTTCATAAGAGAAAGAATATACTTAAAATAATCAATATATAGAGCAACAAAGCCTAAATTGCTTTTTCATATAACTATTAAATAAGTATAGTAATAAATGAAAGACGTTTTTATGAGTGCATTTTATTTCTTAACGCTTATAAATTCGAAATGTTTGTGAAATGTTCTTGTTATAAACGTATGTAAAGTTTTTATATCTTACCAAAATAAAATTTAATTAATCAAATCGGTGAATACATCATTTGTTACTGAAATATTTACAAAAAAACTAATGGTGTAAGGTGGGGCACAAAGATTCAATTACATTTTTTACAAAGATTATGCTGTATATAACCTTGATCTGGTATTTTGTCGAAAATATTCATCAGCAGTGTTTCA